CGAATGCAATAATTTCTTCTTTTGCAATTTTCCAAATCATCATCAATCCCAGATGACATCGTAATGCCCATATAAGAATGCATTTGCCAAATGATGCACTCTTGGTGCACAGTCAAATATCACAACAATTGAAAACACGAATTGTTCAGTTTGAGAAAAATAAAAGCTCTAACTCTTTTTTCCTTTTTAGTATAAAAGAAATAATAGTTGCAATTTTACAGTATTTCTGGCAACTCTTTTGGCAGAAGAATTTAAAGCCTTTTTGACAATATTTATTAGAACGCGTACTTTTTCACCAAAAACTAAAGATAAATTGTTTTCCATAGAAATTAAGCTTTTTCTGCTAATGTCTTCTTCTTTATATTTTGTTCGATATTGAAGATAAAGACAAGGTTAGAAGATCGCGGTCCGGAATTTGTCTGTTTGAAGACCGATCAACTCCTAATTTTTGTTGGATGTTTTGTCTCCAAATGCTTCCAAAATGATCCATAGCCGCTCGATTGTTTAAATTTATAAGATTTTCCACAATAATTGCAAATTACATCGAGCATTTTCTCACCTTTGAATTTTTTCGTGAAATGAATGGTGAATATGTCAGAACTTTGTCTTGCTCTTCCAACAATTTGTGCACATTGCTCTTGCTCTTGCTCTTCCTCTTCTTCTAATTGCTCATTATTAAATTCAAATTCTTGAGTTGGAATTTCCAAATTTTCATTTGGATATCCCTCAAAATTAAATTGGTTGGGAGTGAAATGAAAGATGTCGTTTGTAGGGATAGATGAATAGAATCGTCGTTTTGTAGGGATAGATGAATAATTGTGTTCTCAACCAATCTTTCCCTCTGCCGCTTACGTAGATTTGAGTTTCGTCCACCTTGCCAAACTGATATGATAATAAGATATAATTTGGAAAATGAATAATCAAATTAGAGAGAACAATAGAGAGATTGGTAGAGTAGAGAAGACGTAATATAGAGTAGACGTGTAGTAATAGTGGTAGAGACAGTAAGACGATTTTTTTGTGAGGAATTTGTACAATAGAAAAATGAAATGAGGTATTTATAATAAATTCTAAAAAATTAGTTTTTTTCCAAATACCCTTGAACACTAGCCGTTGTTTGATGTGCCGTTTATGGCTTGTTGGAAAGGGGTAATTAAGAGATTTTAAGATACAAAACAATTTTTTTGTTAAAAGAAAATTCTGACAGTTTCTACGCTAGAACCGCCAGTTCGAACGGCGGTAAGTGAACTGGTAACGGCTAGAACCGCCAGTTCGAACCGGTAGGAACTGGCGGTTCTAACCGGCTGGAGAACCTGTGGTTCCATCCGGTTCCGACCGGTTTGTGGAACCGCCGGTTTGCGGTTCCAACAAAACTGGAACCGGAACCGTAATATGGCCACCCCTATTACAATCAAACTGTTTTTTAAAATATATGAGATATTACATAGATATCTAATTTTTTTTAATATAATCTTTTAATGAACGACTTGTCTCTATTAGCATTCAATAACATTATTATGTAATCTCCAAGTATAAAAATTTATGAATACCTAGTAACATTTTTATTTTCTTCTATTGTGTTTGCAACCATATAATGACAATAACAAGTAAAAAAAAGAAAATCAATGAAATTTGCTCCAAGTATAAGACTCTTAAAGTTTTATTGCTTAACAATCAATCTTTGAAATTCTATACTCTGTTAGCAGTTCCCTCCTGTTGGTTTTCTTTGTTGAGGGCTTTACATGCTTGGAATGCAACTGTTGTAGTATTACCTCAATATTCACTGACTTTCCATCATTAATCAAGTCCTCATTATTCACGTCTTGCTTACCATTGGGAGTATCATTATCATTCTAGCAGTCGGCCTTGTTGACAAATGAGCTAGTTTCCATAATAGGATTTTACAAAAGTTATTTCCTAACTCCATTGCTAGTGTCTACTGCCACTTTGACCTTGATTACATATTTAAAAGGGGACGCTCATAACTTCTCGTTGAAAGAAAGTTACAGCTGATCAATAAATCTTGATAGCCTCGCAAAGCGGGCAAATCTTGTTATGTTATTTTCATATAATTGCATGAATGCATGATGTTCAAATCTTGTTATGTTATTTTCATATAATTGCATGAATGCATGATGTTTTTATATATTTTACGTTTGTTCGTGTTGTTTTTTGTTTCAAAGTAATTTTCAGGAACACAGTTGGAGTAAAGGAATGAAAAAGATTGCTTTATACAAAGAAGACCAAAACAAGTTGAAAAAAATGGAAGAAATCCTTAATCCAGCCTTCGCGCCGCAAAGCAAGTCGCAACAAATAAAATGCCCAAAGTCGTGAGCGCTACTTGAGGTCGCTCGCGCAACCTACACCCAGAAAAGACAAGTCACGAGCGCGACATTCACATGCGTGGGCGCGAGAAGCACTCTTGAGAGTCAGAAGGTTTGCAAGCAGAAGTCGCGAGCGCGACATCCATCTGCGCGGGCGCGAAAAGCACTTTTGAGAGGCAGAGACATTTGAAGCAGAAGTCGCGAGTGCGACCTTTATCCTCGCGAGCGCGAGTCGAGATTTCCAGGAGACGTAATTGCTACCTTTTCATCAAAAATACATATCTTTCCATGCAAGGGTCGGGACTCTTCCCAAGAGAAGTCACCTCGAGCACCTTTTGGCCAACCAATCACCACCAAAACCATCATTCTCCTCCTAATAAATAGCAATCAAAGTGAAGCAAGAAGGATGATTTGATTTCATATTGAGAGTAGATTCAGAAAAAGAAAAACTTAGATTGTATGTAGGAGAAAGTGTGATAGTAAGTAACCTATAGAACAAGTTGATGAGATCACTTGTTATTGATTATGTGCCAAGAACATCAAGAAGTTCCTCGAGGTGTGACGCCTCCGGAGAGCCTTGAGTTAGGATTACTTCTTTCTCTTGTTTTGATAGACTTGTTGTATGTTGTTCTTTTTTTTTCATAAACTCATTCTATGCAAAGCAACAATTTCAAAGTGGAGCCATACAATAAAAATTCCTTTTAAGATATCTTTTGATTCCTTTGTTTAATGCAAGGTTACTAAATTATATTCTCAGAAGGAAATAGTTTAGTAAAGATCAAAGAAGATTTAATTCATTTGAGTGAATTCTACATATGCATATTTCACGTTATTCTGTTTAAAGTGAATATCTGTCTTATTGAAATAATCAAAGAATAAGAATTATGTTTAATATTTAACAAGATAGGGGTTTATTATAAGTAGAAATAACATATAATAGATACGTATAATTCTATACTGAGAAGTTGAAGTATATCTTACCATATGTAATTAAAGAATTCTTATTATATGTTACAAGCTTTTGCATTAGGTTACAAGCTTTTGCATAGAAAGGGAAAATTCTGTGTATGATTAATTATTCTAAGTATCTTACTACACACTTATCTTTAGAGTTAATTACACATTAGATTTAGTATAAAAAGAAATTACTCACTTCTGTATTCATATTCCTGTAAACACATCGTTAAGAGTAAAGTAGCAAGTGAACTCAACCCGTTCCTCGTAGGATCGATCTTTTATTATTACGTTGCGATCCGTATACTTGCGGGAACTCAAAAGAGACGCAACAAGTTTTTGGTGCCGTTGCCGGGGAACGGTGTTCTGTCATTTAATGAAATATTCTTATATGTGATTTACAGTTCATTTTAATTAAGATACTTACTTCTTATTGATTCAAAATTTTGCAGGAACACATAAGTTGCATACCCCATTTGCCAAGTACCAGATCTTCAAACAGTGAATTAGAGGATTATCAGCCTGAGATTGAACAGTTTCTTTCACAACAAAAGAAGAAAAAGAAAAGAAGAAATTCAAGTGGGTGATTGGAATCCGCCACAGAGGTTGATGACTATGAGAGGTTGATGGACTTTGTTACTCCAAGTTTAAATGGTTCACAAAAGGGAGTAGTACGTCCACCGGTAAATGCTAACCAGTTTGAGATTAAACCTGCTGTATTACAAATGCTTCAAAATAGTGTTCAGTTCTACAGATTACCAAATGAAGATCCTAACTCACATATAGCCAGTTTTCTTGAAATCTGTGATACATTCAAGATGAATTCAGTGCTAGCAGATGCTATCAAATTACGTCTATTTCCTTTCACATTGAAAGATAAGGCAAAAGCTTGGTTGAATTCATTACCACCAAACTCTATCACTACTTGGGAGAACAACTAGGCCCAAGCTTTCCTGTCTAAAATACTTCCCCACTAGCAAAACCGCTGGAGGCTTATTAAAGAAATAACCTCATTCACCCAACATGAAAATGAATCCCTATATGAGGCATGGGATCGCTATAAAGAACTTCAATGAGTTTGCCCACACCATGGCATTCCCTAAAATATATTGATTCAAACCTTTTACAATGGGGTTAATCCTTCTCCAAGAGGTACTATAGATGTTATGGCAGGAGGGTCATTAATGAAGAAAACTACTAATGATGCAATTGAGTTGTTGGAGGAGATGGTTAACAACAACAGCATATGGCCAACCGAAAGGGCTCAAGTAAGTCATTCCAATGTTAATCATGGTCCTTCTTCTTCTTCTTCTTCAAATAATTCAGTTAAGAAAGTACATGAGTGCATGTGAATTAGATCCCTTAAAACTATGATGGCAAGCACAGATTTCTGCTCTTGTTCATTATAAAATTGATAAATTTAAACATAAATAAATCAACATCTTCTTATTTTGTGACAATGCGGTCAAAATGGGCATGTTGTCAAATTGGAAGTGTAATTATAAGCAATTCCGGTATGGAGGAACAAGTGAATTATTGTCCCAAGGACAAGTCGCGGTCCATATTCGAATACTTATAATGCTTTGAAAAATCGTAATTATCATAATTCTTTGGAGAAACCATGATTAATCAAGATAGGGCAATCGGTTAGTCAATTCTCAAGATAGACTAGACAATTGACTAGTAAAATTGATAAATTTTTGGAGGGAATTAACCCAAAAGATGGGAGTAGTCAACCAAAAGATGAGTAGTCAAGATGATAGTTTTAAATGGTTAGAATCGAAGTTTGACAAGTTATTCAAAAACCATTCATCATCCATACATAATTTGGAGGTACAAGTAGGGCAGCTTGCAAATGCTATTTCCTCACGTCAAGTGGGAAATCTTCCTAGTAATACAGAAAAAAATCCTAGGGAAAATATAAGTGCCATTGCCTTACGAAGTGGAAAAATAGTAGATAAAATAGTTCCTTTGGGTATTGATGCTAATGTTTTGAATAATACAACTGTGGAGCCGGTTTGTGAACCGAGCATTGAAGTAAATAGTGCAGGATCAAGAGAACGAGAAAGAGGAAAGGACAAGGAGAAGGATAATGTTAAAGCTTATCAATCTAGGCCACCTTTTCTGCAAAGGCTCAAGAAGCAAGAGCAAGATAAGCAGTTCTTAAATTTTATTGATAAATTGAAAAATTTGCATATCAACATGTCACTCATGGAAACTATCACACAAACATGTCACTCATGGAAGCTATCACACAAATTCCAAACTATGGTAAGTTCCTTAAAGAATTGATCTCGAAGAAACGTAGTTGGGAAGATGTATCAACAGTCACCCTGACTGAGGATTGTAGTTCCATAATCTCAAGTCAGTTACCTACTGAACTCAAAGATCCAGGGAGTTTCATTATACCATGCAAATTAGGTAAAGTAGATTTTCCTAGATGCCTTTGTGACTTAGGAACAAGTATTAATTTGATGCCATTATCTCTCTTTAAGAAACTGGGATTAGAAGATGAAGTTAAGAGAACTAATATGGTTTTACAACTTGCTGACCAAACTATTAAAAGACCCTATGGTATCATTGAGGATGTACTTGTGACTGTACTTGTTAAGGTTTGACAAATTTATTTTCCAACTTGATTTGTCATACTTGATTTGTTTATTGATAAAATTGTCTTCTTATTTTAGGAAGACCATTATGACAAGGAGGGCATTAATTTATGTTCAGGAAGCGAAAATTAGTCCTTAGGATAGGTGATGGATTGTTATTTGAATTCCATATAGACCAAAGCTACGAAAATATCCTATGGTATGAGGGAAAATTGCATGAGGATTGACATAGTTGATGCAATGCATACAAGGAAATGTTTTACCCTGGAAAATAGTTGAAAAATTATGAGGAAGAAAATGTCCAAAATTGAAGAAGAGGAGTTTTATAAATTTAAGACTGAAATGTTTACTTAGGAGCATGAGCCTTTGCCACCATCAATTTGAAAAGTCCACCAATAGTAGACCTTAAGATTACCAAGTCATTTACGGATATGCTTTTCTTAGGTAAAGATCACCCACACTTCCTAAATTGTTTCAACAATTAACTGTAGATCAAGAAAATGGACTTGTTAAAATGTTAGAAAATATGGATTAAGAGTATAGGGATGGCAAATTTTCTGACCTTTAAAGGGATAAAGTCCAAATCGGAGTCATGCATTACATAACTCTTGAAGATGCGACATATAACCTAAGGGCAGAAAGACAAAGGGAGACTTAATCCTAAGTATGAAAGAAAGTAGTGAAGAAAGAAATTATCAAGTGTTAAATGCAGGAATAAATATACCCAATTTCAGATAGCAATGGGTAGTCCAATTCAATTGTGTGCCTAAAAAGGGAGGAATGGACTGTGGTAAAAAATGAAATGGTGAACTAAATTCCCTACTAGGACCACTCAGGTTGGAGGGTATGTATTGATTATAGGAAAACTCAATTCAGCTAACAGAAAAGATACATTTTCCATTTACCATTCATAGATCAAAATGTTAGAAAAGAATTGCTGGTCATGCTTTTCTTTGTTTTCTCAATAGTATCTGGATATTTTCATTATTTATATCTTTCCGAATGACCAAGAGAAAACCACATTACTTGTCCCATTTGGTACATTTGCATATAAGATGCATGCCTTTTGGATTATGCAATGCACCTGCACATTCAAGTTGCATGACCACGATTTTTAATGACTACAATAGAGGATTATGGATGTATTCATGGATGACTTTCTGTTTATGGTGATTCATTTGAAAAGTTGTTTGGAAAAATTTAGATCTTGTATTGTCAAGATTGTGAAAGTGCTAACTTGGTATTTGAATTAGGGAGAAGGAATGCCAACTTTATGGTGGACGAGGGCATTGTTAGGCATAAAATAAGTTAAGGAAGGGAATCCATACAGATAGGGGCAAAGATAGAAGCCATAGAAAAGTTACCTCCTTCCTACTACGGTTAAAGGTATTAAGATCTTTTCTAGGCCATGCAGCGGTTTTATGGTTTATAAAAAATTTCTATCATTTGCTAAACCTCTAAACTTAACTTACTTGTAAAGATGCCATCTTTGATTTTTCTCCAGGAATTTGTTTTAGAGCTTTTTAATACTTTTAAAAGAATGCATTTAATAAGTGCACCTATTTATGGGCAAACCCAATTGGGATTACCATTGAAATAAATGCTGTGATGCTAGTGATGTTGCTGTTTGGTTGTGTTTTAGGCCCAAAGACATTGAGAAAAAGTTGCATGTTGATATTACTATGCTAGCCATGTTCTAACTAGTACTCAAATGAATTATAAACAACTTACTGAGAAAGAAATTTGGCTGTGGTATATTGCATGTTGATAAATTCATATCATATTTTATTAGGAAGCCAGGTCATAATCTTATACTGATTCATTTCTGCATTTGAAATACCTTTATTTGCTAAGAAAGATGCAAAACCACCGTCTTATTCGATGGGTATTATTATTTGCAGGAGAATTTGACATTGAAATTAAGGACAAGAAAGGGTTCTTAAAATTAGTTGTTGTCATTTATCACGTCTGGGAAAATGAAGAAGGACCAATAAGGAAGAATCTACAATTATAAATGAAAGTTTTCCGGATGAGAATTTAATGTTAGTACAACATGTTCATGCACCTTGGTATGCTGACATTGCAAATTTTCTAGCTTCTAACATAATACCTCCAGATATGAATTATGCACAAAGAAAGAAGTTCTATGCAGATGCTAAAAATTACTTATGGGATGAACCATTCTTATTTAAGATATGTATGGATGGTATGATTAGAAGGTGTGTAGGGGAAACAGAAATACAAGATATACTTATGTATTGTCACTCTAGTCCATATGGAGGGCATTATGGAGCGAATAGAACTGCTTCAAAAGTTTTGGAAAGTGGCTTTTATTGGCCTACTCTATTTCAAGATGCACGTATATTTGTCTCTCATTGTGACAGGTGTGTTCTTCATTGTGACAGGTGTCAAAGTGTGGCCAACATAAGTCGGAAAGAATGAAATGCCTTTATTTCCAAATACTGGAAGTAGAATATTTTGATTTATGGGGGAATCGGATTTATGGGGGGGGGGGGGGACCCCCATTCCCCTATTCACAAGGTAAAAGTTATATCTTAAGTAGGCTATTGTCGACTATTGTTTCAAATGGGGTGGGAAAGCACAAGCTGTGTCACAACAACGCCAAACAGAAGTGGTCAAATTCTTAAAAGCACTATTTACCAGATTTGGAGTTTCCAAGAGCAATTATAAGTGACGTAGGTACGCACTTTTTAATAGATCTTTTTGAAAGCCTTTTGAGGAATTATGGAGTACACCACAAGGTATTCACCCCATATATCCGACAAAACTAGTGTTAATGGGAAATTTCAAATCCGTGAGTTAAGTGGATTTTGGAAAAAAGTGGATTTTGGAAAAAAATGTCAATTCATCCCGAAAGGATTGGTCACTTAAACTCGATGATGCACTCTGGGCATATAGAACGGCATTTAAGACACCAATTGGGATGTCTCCTTACCGTCTAATTTATGGAAAGGCATGTCATCTACCCTTAGAATTAGAGTATAAGGCATACTGGGCAATAAGGTCTTTGAATTTTGATTTGAGCAAGGCTGGCTACAAAAGGAAACTTCAATTAAATGAACTTGATGAGATCAGATTATTAGCATATGAAAATGCCAAGTTGTATAAAGAAAGAACTAAGAAATGGCATGATAATCAGATTCAAATCAAATCATTTAAAGAAGGAGACAAAGTAAGAATGGAGGACAAAGTGTTATTTATTTAATTCAAAAGACTAGCCTAATTTCCTTGGAAAAATTTGAAATCAAGATGGAGTGGACATTTGAGGTGATCAAAGTTTCAGATTTCATTGGAGCATAGGGAGTTGAAAAATTTCTCTTTAATTGGTTCCCATGTTTATTGGTCAATGGACAGAGGTTGTTGAGCTTTATTTGGGTACTAAAAATAAATGATCCCACCCACAGTAACATTTTGAATTCAAAAATAGGTATGTATAATATCAATAACTAATTAATATACTTTGTTATTATAACTTATTATTTGATTATTTGTTTTTTTTAAAAAAAAATTGTGATAATTTAAAAAAGTCAACTTTCTTTGCCTTATCAACTTCTTTGCCTTAGTTCAATGTTTTGATCTCTACATGTTGATTTGTTTGTATTTTGCTTGTTGAAATAGAAGTCTTGAATAATATACCATGATTTAAGAGATTTAAATGCTAATATGAACTTAAGTATTAATATATTACATATGACATATTGAAATTTTAAAATAGCAAATTTTAATCTTTAGTTAACTATCTAGACATTATCTTTTGTTTTTGAGAAGCTTGAATCCTAACTTGAATGAAGAATAGGAAGAAAATGGAAATTAAATACTTGTATGTTTCAAGTCAATAAAGGATGAAGGTATGTTAAAGAGAGAAAAATATACGATAGAGGGAATAACAGAAAATCCGTTCCAAAGTGAAGTGGTATGGAGCATAAAATGCAACCACAAAAGAAAAAGAAAAGAAAAAAAAACATACATATATATATATATATATATAAAGGCATAAAATGCAACCACAAAAGAAAAAGAAAAGAAAAACATATATAAAGCAAATAAAGTGGTATGGAGCATAAAATGCAACCACTTAGTGAGATAAAAAAAAAAATAGATTACCTAAAAATGCCTTGAGATGAGAAAAATGCAACCACTTAGTGAGATAGAAATAAGATTATCTAAAAATGCCTTGAGATAAGAAACAATACATGTATGCTATCTTAAGTACTTCCTATTCTTTGCATTCTAAGGATGGAGGATTGCCTATCTCATATCTTAAAATGACTAGATTTCTTCTACTTTAGATTTTTGTTTGCTATATGAAAATTTTTTTCATGTCATATTCATTTACACTACTTTGTTCATAAATACATAAAATCTCTTATCTTTGGTAGATTACTTAAGAAGTCTAAATCAATGAATAAAAACAAACATGATCAACATGAAGTTCAAAAAGAAGGATGAATATTGAATATTTTGCTTAGGGGACAAGCCAAAGAGACATAAGTGTGGGGGAATTGATAGCCTCGCAAAGCAGGGCAAATCTTGTATATGTTATTTTCATATTAATTGCATAATGAATGCATTGATTTGCATGAATGCATGATGTTTTTATATATTTTACGTTTGTTCGTGTTGTTTTTTTTTTCAAAGTAATTTTCAGGAACACAGTTGGAGCAAAGGAATAAAAAAGATTGCTTTATACAAAGAAGACCAAAACAAAATGAAAAAAATGGAAGAAATCCTTGATCCAGCCTTCGCGCCGCAAAGCAAGTCGCAACAAATAAAATGCCCAAAGTCGCGAGCGCTACTTGAGGTCGCGCACGCAACCTACACCCAGAAAAGACAAGTCGCGAGCGCGACATTCACATGCACGGGCGCGAGAAGCACTCCTGAGAGTCAGAAGGTTTGCAAGTAGAAGTCGCAAGCGCGACATACATCTGCGCGGGCACGAAAAGCACTTTTGAGAGGCAGAGACATTTGAAGCAGAAGTTGCGAGCGCG